AAACATTATATACAAGCTAAGCCGTTATAAAATATTTTTTCATATTTTAATATAATAGCAAAAAAATATAAGACAAAAAATTATAGCAAAATATTATGGGAAAATTCTTGAAGATATTAAGACACAAAAATTATAGGAAACATTATATACAAGCTAAGCCGTTATAAAATATTTTTTCATATTTTAATATAATAGCAAAAAAATATATGACAAAAAATTATAGCAAAAATTATTAAAATGCATATAGGTATGTATCTACATATTGTACATTGCTGCAGTTTATTTTCATTAATTCTTCAAAAAAAACCATCATGTTGCTATCTTAATCAAATAGTTTTAGTAGACATGTAGATTAAGTGCCTCAAGACAGACATTTGTTGTTGTTGAGAAAAAATAGTTTTTTATGAAATATTGATTAGTGTTTCAATTTGGTTAGTGCTGATTGTGATACGAGGTTTAGGTTAGTTAGTAGTTAGGTCAGAAGCTAAAATTGTCATATTAACGTAATATAAAACAAAAAACAGAGAAGTTCTTATTTATTTAAAGGCAAATTTTAAGCAGTAACTAAATCATACCTATAACTTGCTGTTAAGATATTAATAATGAACTAATAAAAAATGTAATATTTTGAAGAAACACAACACTCATGCCAGCAAAAAAAAATAAAGTACTCACTACAACACTTATATAACTTTAATAAAAAAATAAATGAATTTCTGAGAATTTTACATAATAATTGTTCAATTTGAGTCTTAGTACTTATTGTATATTATTATACAGTTTATACATGAAAAAAACCCACAAGAAATCAGAGAATTTGACTGAACATTGTTTGCTCTGGAATAATTGACGTCTTACTAATTAATTTTTTATTACATTTTTTGTTGACTAAATTTAATTTGTGAGATTTTTATACCGTTTATCTCATGTCACTTTATTTCACACCACACCACACCATTTGAGTAATCGAACTGCGACGACATTCCCACGGACAACACGCAAAAATTAATATTTAATTTTCTACACTTTTTGCTGAATTTTATACGCATACTTTTTCACGCACACACAGCGTATTTCAAATACAAATGGCAACTTCCTTATAAAATCAACCACTTTACCAACAAACGCAACAGATTATAGCCACTTACCGCTTAAGAAATGGTGTCCAGTTTCCTTGTATAGCGTTCGCTGGGCGTTGTTGTTGTCGTTGGCTTATGTTGTTTGCTTTAATATTAAATGTGTATGGATTTTAATTAACGGTATTTTTTAGTTGTTATTGTATCGATTTCTTGTGGTTCGCTGTCACTTTTGCAATTATAAATCAACAACAAACAAACTAAATGCAGCGCTATGAGGGAAGAAACCAAGAGAAGCAATCAAACAAACATAGCACTAACTTGCAATGCAATAACAACTCGACAGCTAAGCATAGTTAAACTTGCTATAAGTTTTTTTTCTTCTCTTTTAGCAGCAACAAAAATTGGATATGTTGGCAATCTTGTAATACTTGTCTTGCAGTGTTAGTGGACTTGTGGTGAACATGCGGATTTCCTTATCGAATGCGAATGAGTGGGAAAACCCAATTGTTAAAACAATTCGTTACATATTTATAGCAAAAAACAATTAAGTAAACAAATTTATGACAAACCATTTTATAGGACAAAATTATGGTACACAAATTATTTTAAAAAATTATGGCAAACTCTTGTATGGCGGAATAATATAGTAAAACATGTAACGGTGCAAAAATATTATGGCAAAAATTTTATAACAAAAAGATATTACAAAAAACAACAACAAATTGCATTAACAAAACGTTTTCGGCAAAAAAGCCACGACGCCAAAAAATTAAAACAAAAATGGTTTATGACTAAATATTATAGCAAAAATATTATTACTTAAAGGGATAACAAAACAAATATTGCAAAAATTATGGCAAACAATTTATAGCAAAATAATTATTGCACAAATATGTATTTTAAACAAAACGATTGCAACTAATGTTTATATCAAAAAACATTGTTGACAAAACTAGAACAAAAAAATTATAGCAGAATACTTTTCGTTTTGATGCTAAATCTTTAAAACAAAAAAGTTGTATGGCTAAAAAATTTTACGAAAAGTTATTGCTTTAAATGATTGTAAAAAAATTTTATAGCAAAAAAATTATTGCGAAAAATTATGGCAAAAAATTTAAAAATTGTTTTTCTTTGCCAATTCATAGATGGTAAATCACCCTAGTTTTTAAGCATGCGCCATTTAAAGCCTTATCCACATGCAGTCAAAAGAGCGCACGATTACGCTTGCTAGCTTAAAGTTTGATTTTATTGCTACATTGCACTGCCACAACTATACTTAAATTTAGTTTTTTCCTGCATTTGTCACTATCACTATCACTACAACAGGCACACATGCAGACATTTGCATGCAGCAATAAACGCATGCAATGATTTCTGAACTTTTTGCCACTTGTTTATAGCGCAAGCTGTATTCCAGCCGCCGCCTGAGTTGTTACTGCTATTTTGTAATGACCGGTTGTCTGTTGCTGGTCACTAGGTATATATCAGACACTCCTCTCGAATTTTCTTCACTCAATTTTCCTTTTATTTTAAATTTTGTTTTGTTTTTGTATTAGTCAACTTTTAGCGCATGCGGCATATCTGCGGCAGGCCTTTCCATTTTTCGCGGTTTAAATTAATATATTGCCCAATTGCGTTGTATAACCGGTGGCGTATGAGTAATATGCCACTAATATGCACAGAGGTGCAGGATTTGCGCTGTTATTAAAAAACTCTATTCCTGTTCATTTTTTTATATTTGTATTCCTTTTAATTAATTCTTTTTAATTTTTTTTTGTCTTTTATTTTTATTTTTGTATATATTTTTATTAATTATTTTTAAATATATTTCTTCTTATTCTAATCAATAATTTATTTCAACTAAATTTTTTTAATTAAATAAATATTTGTTTTAATTTAATTTTCGTTTTTGTTTATAGTTTTAATTGATATATTTTTATTAAACGAATTTTATAATTTTTTTATATTGATTGTTTAAAGCCACTCCTTTTAATTTTTTTGTGTTGTTTTTATTTTTTGTTTATTTATAAATTATCTATTAATTTATTTTTCACGTTATTTCCTTTTTTGCTTTTTGAACCTTTTATTTAACTTCTAGAGCAAATTAAATTTTTTTAATATCTTTGTTATTTTTTTCTTCAAAATATATTATTATATATGCAAAATAATATAAAAATTATAGTTAAAAATACATTTATAATAAAAAAGAAATAATTTAAAAAAAAATGGCAAAGCAGTATTTATTATAATTAATGAATATATTGTATAATTTACAATTTATTTTTCATTAAGCTTTCTTCTTTTGGTTTTATATTTTTCTGACAATGATTTATTGTGTTATCTTTTTGAATTCAAATTACATTTTACTGTACTCATATATTTTAATTAATTTACTATAATTATATTTTTGGGTTCTTAAGTTTTTATCCATTTTCAGCTGTATATATATTTTTCATTTCTAATAATTAAGTGAATATAATTATTTTTATACTAACTAATTTATAAAAATATTTAGATTTGTTTCTTATAATATTTTTTTCAATTTACTACTTTATAATAGTTTATCAATGTTACACCCGAACTAGTCCCTCAGTTTTTGAGATATCGACCCAAAACTTGTTGGAACCGCCGATAACAGCAATTATAACATATGGCTCTCATACAAATAGAATTTGTTCAGATCGGACCACTATATCATATAACTGCCATAAAAACTGGCCGATAAAAATGAAGTTCTTGTATGGAAAATTTTTTTGTTTGTAAATTATGGCTACGAGAAACAGAAGTTAAAGTGTTTTCTTGTATGTAATCATATTAAAAATTAATTATACTCTCTTATTGTTATATTAAACAAATTTATTTATATCCACTTTAGTTGCTATAACAATGTTTAATAAATTTTTTTTTATTTTATTTGCAAAATATTTAATTTATATCTCATCACGTACTTTTTTTTAAATTTTTTATAATTGTTTTATAATCTATTAGATTAGCTGTGCTTCTTCTTTATTTTTATTTTGTATTTTAATATTTATTTTTCTCTTGAGGTTTTTTGTTTTGTTTTTTAAATTTTCTATTAGTTTCAGAAGAAATTTGGTTTGTTTATATTTGGAAGCTTATAGAGTAGATTTACTTTTACCAATTTTTTATTGTCTTTCATTTATCATATTTCTTAATATTGATTCCAAGGAGCAGACACGGTTTTATTTTATTTCTTTTTTTTCGATTTTTATGTTGAAACTTTATTAATTTAATTGTTTTTTTATTTTACTAATTCTTATTTTATTTTATTTTGTTTAATTTTATTTTAGGTTTTTTAATTTATTTTATTTTGTTTTATTTATTTTTTTCTTATTTTATAATTTTTCTATTTATTTTTATTATAACATACAATGAATGCAAATCTTTTATTTTATTTATTTTAATAATTATATTTTATATTATTATATTTTATTTATTTATTTTTATTTACACTAATAATATTTATTTGTGACTTATTTATTTTTTATATAAGCTTTTTAAATCATTTTTTTATTGTACTTTATTTTAATTTAATGTAATTCAGTTTACATCAAACTTTTTGTCGCTTTTGTAAATTTCTTTATTTAATTTTTTTTTAATATGAAGACTCCACTAATTTCTTAGTCATACACACTTTCACTTTTGCTGCCATAAATTTCTATTAACACAAGTCACAAATTCAGTTAACACATATAATTAATAATTTTTAGTGAAAAAATGCAGAAATTTAATAGAAAATTATTATTTTCGTACTATTTCTTTTTTTATGTCATTTATGCACTCTTCAAGCGCTTTATCGTGTGCATATTAATTACTTTTGTTTGCCCACTGAACTGCTGACCAAGTAAGCAGCCAGCATTGCAGGCCGATTCGAACAATTCAAGCGTTGCCAGCCGCGCGGTCGGCCATCATCGAACCATTGGCTTTTGTATTGGCACTAGTAATCACCACTCAACCAATTCAGTTATGCTTTTTTGGTAGGCATAAAAATAAACACAATGGAACTATCACTGAAATATTTGTTTAGCCCACTTTCGTTACAACGCTCCGATTGGCAGTCACTGCACCACTTTGTGTAGTTGCCGCACAATCACAATTTGTAACAAAAAGCCCAATCTATAATTAATATTAGCTATTTTATTGTTAAATGTTGTATTATCGGCAGCACACACAAACATAAACAAATGGAATTCGCAAGTAAAGACACCAATTCAAACGCACTTTATTAACGGTCTTATTTGTTGCTTGATGCGCAACGCTCGTTTTGTTGAAAATCGCCGTTCGCTTCTTTCTTTATTTGCTACAATTTGTCGTTATTGTAGCAAACGCATACGCTATTCACTTTATTGACTCGTTTGCCAGCACTTTCTGGGTCTTGGCCGTTTCACGCTTTGCCTCACCTCATCACACACTTCACCTGTTGTCACTTAGCCAATATTACTTCACAGCCAGTTTGATTGCGTTCTTTTTGTCAACAATTTAACCGCTATTTGCTTTTGTTCAAACCATACGCGTTGCCTTTCGATATTCAACTGTTGTCTGCACCGTGGCAATGTGCTGCACTGAGCAAGTGTTGCGCAGCAAGTGAGTAGCTATTTAAAATTTGACTCAATCAAATGAGTATTTGAGTGAAATTAGAGATCTTTGAGGAGTAGAAAATTGAGTTACTTCTGGTGACGAAATGCGTAGTGTTAGGATTTAGCTGTAAGACCTTTTAAGAAAATAATACTTGTATACAGACTTCTTGCTCTGTTTCAGAGTTCAGCAAAAAATCCTTAAGCCCAGATTTATCTAATATATATTTATTTTTTCTGGGGGACCACGGTGTCAGAATTACACTTAAAGGTTAGCGAAAGTTTTGGCTTTCAATAAAACCCAGCTTATATATGTGATCCAAGGCAAATTCTTTACAATTCCTTTCACATAAACGCTTCTATAGAAGATTAGTCGATATGAAAACATAACCTAAATTTGTCTTCATTGCTGCATAAAAATGAAATGGCGAGTTGTGTTAGTTACTTGATGGTAAAACGTTCTGAATAACATCTGTTTGCACATTCCACTAATTTCAAAATAAACAAGTAAGGAAGGGCTAAGTTCGAATTTAACCGAAAATTTTATACTCTCGCAAAGTCAAATGGTATAATCGTTTGAGATTTCTTTGTGGATTGACTGATATTTTCGGTAGAAGGTCAACTATAGGCACTGGGGTCCACATATTTAGTACTTAGGGGTTTGAACAGTTTTGGTTCGATTTAGACAATTTATGGCCGCAAGGTGGCATACTTTAATTGCATTATTCACGCAAAGTTTTACCCCGATATTATCATTGTTACCTGATTTGCATAGTGGAAAGTGAAAGAATCAAGTGGTATTTAAAATGGTGTCATATGGAAAATAGGGGTGGTTGTAATCCGATTTCGCCCATTTTCGCACTATGACATAGAAATATGAAGAGAACGTTACGCACTGAATTTGGTTGCAATCGGTTAATCAGATCTCAAGATATGGGGTTTCACCTAAAAGTGGGCTGTGCCACGCCCACTGTCTAATTTTGAACGCGGTTCCTATAAAGTCATCTTATACCATCTCAGAGATAAAATTTAATGTCTCTGGCGTGTTTAGTGCTTGATTTATCGCGCTTTTAGTAGTTTTTAACAGTACCGTTATATGGGGAGTGGGCGGAGTTGCCGTCAATAGAAGTGCTAAAAACATTTGCTTCTAGTGAATTTTGTTATTATAGCATTAGCGGTTTAGGAGATATGCACATTAAACCTATTAGAGGCGGGACCACGCCCACTTTTTAAAAAAGTTTTAACTGCAGATGCCCCTCCCTAATGTGATCCTGTGTACCAAATAACAGTCTTGTATCTTATTGCGGAGCTTAGTTATGGCAAGTTATTTGTTTTTGATTAATGGCGTTTTGTGGGCGTGGCAGTGGTCCGATTACTCCCATCTGCAATACCAACCGTCTCACGGTACCAAGAAACATGTCTACCAAGTTTCATAAAGATATCTCAATTTTTACTCAAGTTAGGACAGACAGTCACCCGGATTTCAACTCGTATCTTCATCCTGATCATTTATATATATATATAACCCTATATCTAACTCGATTAGTTTTGAACAAAACTATTATACTCTGTAGCAAAAGGTTGCGAGAGTATAAAAATGCGTTTTCAACGTGAAGTGATTATTTATTCAAGTCCGCTACTTAAAATTAGTTGCTAATTACAGCTAGTAGTTCATTAAACGATTCAGTGCTGCTCTTTTATTTACTATAGGAATATATTAATCAGAAAATAGAGATTTCAACAAACATAAAGAATACTGACATTTTAAAAAATCGACGAGATATTCTAGACTCTAGATATTTCTACTCAAAAACAGTATATCAAGTTGGTTTGGTGGCAATCGACATATCAGCGTACTATGAATGAAATATTCAAGTAATGAACTCCGTCAGTATTTTTCACGGTCTTAGCGATTACTTTTTGAAGAAATTAAGTAGAAAAAGAATCTCCTCACTGCTTCAATAAGCACGAGTACATGATATTCAGCTAATAGTATAATAAACACAAGAGGTCTAATGAGTTGTTGTTGTTGGTGTTGCTGTAGTGGCAAAAAACCTCGCTGAAGTAATTTGGAAGAATGCTGTCGAGTTGATAGTGCTTGCACGGTTAAAAATCCGGGTTTGTTCCGGTTTCCTCTTGTATTTCCCGCCTTCTGTGCTGAAACACCTTGGATCTAACCTTAATGCCATTAAAATGAAACTAGCTTGGATTGATGTTAAATCGGCTAAGCAGATTTGTTTGAGCTCATATTTTTATTTTGGTCCATATGAGAAAGTATGTCAATGTAATGATGATTAGTCTCTTGCTTAAAAATAGGTCTCCCACACAACATTTATCTCTGAGGGCATAAAGAAGTGACTGAGGGCCAGATCCGAAGAATACGATAGATGCGAAAGTTGTTCGAAACACCGTTCATGCAATTTTGTCATTCATAAATAATATGTCAAATATGCTCTAACCTTATGCTATCTTGATCCACCACATTTTATGATCATTCAATAGAAATTTGTGGGATTTTTTGTTACATTTATTCGTAACCTACTCTTTCGGAAAACTACTAGTACTTTTCTAGACTTGCTTAAGTATATTTCATTAATATTAAAACAGTTAATTTTAATAGATGCCATACACATAGAACTTGATCCTGGTTCTAAACTTCTTTATTTGGCAAGCTATCTTCACAAAATCTGTCAGAAATTATTACTTAACGAAAATTTATATTATCGGAAGAAATTTTGCTGATCGGATTACTATATCATATAGTTGTCATACAAACTGAGCGATCAAAATCAAGTTCATGCATGGAAACTTCTTTATTTGTGTGCTATGCTAATTTCGGTGCAACTGAAGTTAACGTTTTTTCTTATTTCTTCAAAAAAAATCTATTTATTTTTGATCTCTAATTTAATTCGGCACAAATAATAAATATTCATGTAATTTTGTCTGCAAAACAAAAAGTTCAAAAAATTTTGAATTTACATTCTCATTTGTGCTTTAAGATATAGACAAAAATATTAACCAAAAACCAACGCAAATACAGTTCAAATAGTTACGCACGTATCGTAAATCTGTAAATTTGCATACACATATCGATTACTAAATATTTAAACCAATTTCTTCAACTAATTTTTACAACACAACTATGCTAATGCGCAGGAGCGGCCCACCTTGACCATACACTTGTCAACCGAAACGCTGCGACTGCATGCAACTGACGCAATAAACATACCCACCAACAACAACTAATTGGCAATTAACTACAAGCCACTATAAAAACAACAATAAATATGTGAGTGCAATGCACTCACAAGAGCAGACACCTGTTGGAAGAGCAAATCAATGCCGGCGGCATAAACCAAAGTAACTCAAAAGAGAGTGAAAAGCGTGTAAAAAAAGATATGAGTAAATAGTATTTAGTGAACGGTTATTGTAAGTGAGTGAAAGAGCAAGCAATTTGATGCACAATATCTCAATTTTTGCTTTAAAAATTTACAGCGCGCGCAGACAAATCAATCAATGGTGGGCAGACAGCGATGGATGGGCGCCTGCTGTGCCACTATGTATACATATAATTACAAGTGGAGATTACAAACATGAATTGCAGAAGTTTTAATTTATATTTTTTTTAAACTATTTTCCGCATTTCTTTGTTTTCTTTGTGTGTGAGTTTTTTTGGTGAAAAAAACTTGACTATATAGACTTTAGATAACCAAACAGCCTCTTTGCCACAACTGAAAAACATTTCTATCACCAGCAAATAAATATTTCAAATTTTTTCAACACATTAAACACACTTCATAGCAGCTATTTACATAATAACCTACAAAAAGACCTTAACAAGCATTACTTCAAGCTAATTAATGCGCTTTGGCGTCGTTGCCACCACGCATTGCATGCATTTGCCACGCACTTGTTGCACACACATGCTTTCTTCTATACATATACACATAATTTCACACATACACATATCCATTATTTGTTTATTTGTTTATCGCCAGCTTAGCTATTTACAGTGCGCCACAATTTGCTTGCGTACATGCAACAGCCTGCATTTCCTCACTTGTTGCTGCCTAATTTTGTTTGCACTCGGTTGTGCCACTAATGATAATCCGCCAAGCTAACAATTTCTTTTACCAAGTCATCGACGTAAAAAAATGGCAAACTTGTCGGTGACAGTTGTGCGTTTTAGTTTCTTATTTATTATGCATAGCCGCTTTAGTGAGAGTCGCTTGAAAATGAAAACCGAAGACTTAAGACACAAACTTGCAATGACGGATTTCAGACTAATGCGCTTTGCCGGCAAAGCAAACTCATTTTAATATTATTTTTTGTTGCAAACAAGTTATATATTTGTGATATTTTATAAAAAGACACAGCACTGCCACCAATTTTGATCTGGTAGCAGCAACTTGAAAGAAATTTCAAGTGGGAAATCACTCGGAAGTTGCACAAATGCAACTGAAAATCTTAAAAGTAAATAAAATAATCAAAAACATTAACTTTGCTTGCATAGAAGCTATAAAACTCTTCGCAAATAAAAAAGTTTCTGTACAAGTACTTGATTTTGATCGATCAATTTGTATGGCAGTTATATGCTATAGTAAACCGAACTGAACAATTTATTCGGAGATTGTATCGTTGCCTTGGACAGCAATCTATGCCAAATTTCGTGCAGATATCTTCTCAAAAAAAAAGGTTTCCATACAAAGACTTAATTTTGTTCCTTCAGTTTCTATGGCAGTTATATGCTATAGTGCTTCGATATCGGCGATTCCGACAACTGAGTGGTCTTTTGGGGCAAAAAGCATTTGTGCAAAATTTTAGATCGATATCTCAAAAACTGAGAGACTAAATCATTATGGCGTTCATTTACTTATATAATATATTTTAGAGAATTTTCGATGTTTCCTGCTGATTGTTGCAATTAGATTTGTAATGCTGTAAAAAAGTTCACAGATAGCTCATAAGCTGGGTTAATAATTTTTTAATTAAAACAGTTGGGACTAATACCTTAAAAATTATTTTTTAATTGCAAAATCGAACT